CGTGAACAACGCCGGGCCTCAATCGGAGCAAGCGGTGGCGCTCCGTGTCGGAGCAGATAAATCCGTCGTGTATCGATGCTCCGTCGTAGGATACCAAGATTCACTCTACACACACTCCAAACGACAGTTCTACCGAGAGACAGATATCTACGGCACCGTCGATTTCATCTTCGGAAACTCTGTAGTCGTGTTCCAGGCCTGCAACATCGTCGCACGTAAACCACTATCGGGTCAGAAAAACTTCGTGACGGCGCAAGGACGGACCGATCCGGGTCAAAACACCGGAATCTCGATTCAAAACTGTAAAATCACGGCGGAGTCGATGACTTATCTAGGTCGGCCGTGGAAGGCGTATTCGAGGACGGTGGTGATGCAGTCGTTTCTCGGCGGGTCGATTGACCCGTCGGGTTGGTCCCCTTGGTCCGGTGGTTTCGGCCTCAAATCTCTGTATTACGGTGAATACGGGAATACGGGTCCTGGATCATCGGTTTCGGGTCGGGTTAAATGGACTGGGTACCATTCGGCTTTGACGGTGACGGAAGCGGAAAAATTCACTGTGGCTGGTTTTATTGGCGGGAATATGTGGTTGCCGTCAACGGGCGTTAGTTTCGACTCTGGACTTATCAAGTGAGCTCGCTCGCTCTCTCGTTTGAATTATAATTCTCAAATTGTGATATATTTATTAATGTTGAACTGTGATTAAAGGTAATGGGTGTGATAAATAATTCTTAATTAATTACAACTGTGTGTTTATAATTTATATACTCCCTTTTCGTTTTATACTTTTGTATATTTGGGTGTAACCTTGGAAAGAAAATAAAACTTCTTCAATAAAACCTTTTAATGTCTTGCGGATTTGTTTATACTAATGTTTACATGTTAAACAGTCTTCTTAATTTGTTGAAGTAAACTGTAAGAAACTTATAGATTATTTACACACTAAACTTTGTGAATGCATGATTTTAAAGGATACAAACTATTGCATGTGGATAAGTGCTTAGCCCGTCCATCATGTGGTTTTGAAGCCTGCCTGCATTTTTATAAACGATGATAAATAGATTTTTAAAGCCCATTGTTATAGACCTATACCATGGAAACAATCCTGGATTATACATATGTTCTCTCTTCTTTTTTTTGGTCAACTTGTTTCTTTTGTTCTTTTCTGTTAATGAACGACCGAATTCAATTGTGATAATTATTGGTTTAGTAGTTTTTATAGAATTATTTGGTCAAATAGTTGGTATATGAATAAATAATATCTACATTAGTCCAGATATCAAAATACGCAAAATTAAAAACATACGATCGATATAAATACGCAAAATTAAAAACATACGATCGATATCTTTGACGTTTTCGGGGATATTTCATGTAAACGCCCAAAACTTGTCAAAATTATTTATGATACAGATTAGTTTGTATATCCTTTTTTACAACAAAATACTTCTAAAGCAGACTTATTGAAAACTTATATGAAAAATCAGGTATATTTTGGTCGTTTAAACCATGATTTGCAATTTTGCATCATAATGGAAGGATATGACGACCTTTCATTTTGACCACCATGAGTAATTAGTGTGGTTTATATACCATAATGTCCACATGTTACCAAAAAAGAGTTGTTTAACTCTTACCATATTAGTAGTTAATTAGCTAAGAATGATTTCTTCAACATTCTATATGTTTTGATCTTGTAAGCATGCAAGTTGAAAGGTGTATAGATTTTTCTTCTTCAAGTCTTCTAGTCCAAAAATTCGATACTAGTCATCTACATATAAACATATTGATTGCGCATGCACTAGCGAATGTGTATAAACACGTTGAAACTTGTAATATGTCTTAGCGAATAGACAGATTTTAAAAGTTAATTTTATATTGTGTGAGAGACTCTTTACCAACTAACCCCATATATATAATTGAAGAATAATAATTAAAAGAGTTTAGAATATGGTATAAATTAAAGAGATAATTAAAATTAGGCAGTGGTCTTCGTGTTGAGTATTAAAATCTTGCCTCTCTAACCATAGGCAAGATCGGCCCACCTTTTTTTATTTTTCCACGGTTCTGTTTTTATTTTTCCTTGACTCATTATTCAAATAATGACCTATATAATAAGATTTTGCATGTACGTGTGTATACGACGTATGTGTTCATTAAAGTTATCCCACGTGCAAACCGTTTCTAGTTTATGTTTTCATTAACAACGCCAAAATTCTCAGCCTTAGGGTCAATGGTTTTGTTTGATCTTTGTCGAGTTATTTATATTCTCATAACATTGGACTTCTCTTTGACGTTACTCAACCATAACAAACATAGTAAACAAGTTTTATAGTTTCACCATCCAACAATCCATGCAAGCATCAAGTTACAAACACACATGCACTATTCTTGAATCTTGAGTCATGGTGTGGCTCGTCGGATCATTATTTAAAGGTTTGAAAGATATATAAAGGAGAGCGCCGTCATGCTATTATCTCTATACTGGAGAAAGTAAATGAAACGGAACCACGTCAACGTCAGCAACAATTACAGAGTAAAGTCGCCGACAGTTGTAACGTCAAGCTTAATCAGCCGTCTTCTTCTTTTTTTACATAACGTAATAAATAAAGCTTAACACACACTTTAATTTGTCTTCTTACATCTGAAAAACATGGCGTAAGTGATGACGTGTCTTTTCACACGTTATGATTTTCAACGTCAGTGATCGATCAGTGTTACTATGTTTAGAACTCTCTTTCGTGAGTTTTAACATTTGTCACCTATATTACTGAGTGGCCAATATCATTTGTTCTTTAGGTTGGATATTTTAATCAACTAGGTTATATAGAAAGTATACCAAACGACGAATTATTAAGCTTTAAAGAAATTAAGAGAAGAATCAAAGAAAACGAACGGTGTAGAGTTGTAGTTAAATATTAATTAAAATGATTAGAACCAACAAAAACAAATTAAAAGATAAAGAAGATAAGAGAGAAAGAAAAGTTTGGGGGGGTGGGTAAAGGCCATATAGCCATGTGCCTTCATGTGGTGGTTGGCCCATCTTGTGTCCCCACGCTACCACTTCTTCAACTCCTTCTCTTTGTTACTTCTTAATAGTATTTGATTAATACTATATTGTTTATTCATTTGGTTTCACTCCTAATTATCAATTTTGTAAATTTCTTATCTCCTCAAACCTTGTTTCACCTTTATGCTAGATGTAATATTTGAAAGCTTATAGAAAACAATGTGGTATTCAAGGGAATTTTGGAGCTGAATTGTGAGAAGTAAAGGTGAAATATGAAAATTTGATAATGATGATACATACAAAATTAATTAATGGCGTGAAAAATACGTCCGGCGGCAAAGTGATAGGGAGAGAGAGTGATTAACACAAAAGAGATGGGACTAATGCTAAATTATAGCCTTAACCAAACACAAATCGTATTCCTTAAGTCTCTCTTCTCTTCTTTTTTTCTCTTCTCTTTTGGCTTCCATGAGTTGTCTTTTCTTATAAACTAGTTAGTAATATCTAGTGAATATTAAAATCATCATGTTGTCATCAAACCAATTTAATTATTATTCTAGATATACATAATTTTCTCCTATATATATATTTATATATTTTTAGTTGCTCTCTTGCATGGTGAATATTTTGTTATATCTTTGATCACTTTTTAGCACGTTTTATCTCTTGATGATGCAAGCGACTAATTTGATTAGGTTTAGTATTTACTTTTACGCCCTAAAGAATCATAGTTTATTAATCTTTCAATTTGGTTATTTGACGAACTAATATATAGTTCAAAATCCGGATTTGTATGAATGATATCGACAAAGTAATGAATCAGTCAATTGATTTTTTGGGATGGTTTTGTAATTTTCTCTTGCAATGATAATGATCAGCTTAATTAGATGTTTTCCACCATCATCACCATTCCATCTTAGTCGTCATTAATTGTCAACTAATGTTAACATAAATTCACATATATATATACATAGCTTACCTAATTAATATTTATCATAATAGTCTCTCTATTAGCTGGTCACGTTAGTTAATCCATACGCATTCGTCACTGAACTTAAACCTTTTTTTTATTAAAACAAACAAATAAACATGAAATCGTGGTTTGAATCTTATTCCATAATCTGATGTTTGCCCCTAATTGCTCCTTTTTCCGTTTATATATACACACAGCTAGGAACCAGATGCGCTTGATTAATTTGCGTTTTGTAAACATCTTCCGAATTAATTATAATTTTGTTGAATTAGTTGAGATGTATATCATTATTCATTAATGCTATGTTAGTTTGTTTAAATAATAATATAATTAATTTGCGTAATAGTTTTATATATGACATACATATACATATTTCAAAGTGGTCAAAAATATGTATCCAAAATGGCCAAGTTCTGCTCATCTATTGGCATCACCTTTTCTTCTTTGATCCAAAACATCGTTTTCCACTAATTTCCCATCTGTATTCTAGACTTTTAATTATAACCCTAGGTGTATATATATTTATACTTATCCGAAATTCATGGGCTTTTGCTAATATTCACATTTCATTTTAAATTCTAACACATATATAATGATATAGATACACATCTAATTATATATCCACCAGTAAACAACCTAACAGCCAATCCACTAAAGTACTAAAACACATCACACGAATCTCCAAAATTTCGAACATTTCAATATATCGAATCTGTTGGCGTTGGGGCATCTAATTATCTCATATCTCTTCACGTTTACTTTTTGTTTTTGTTTCAATCCTACTCATAACTAAAACATGGATACCAAATGTATCTTAAGAAAATAGCTCTACCTAGAGTTTAATTAAATTTCAACTTTATAGAGAATTTGAATAGTTGTGCGTCTTGTGACATAAAAACCCATATTTGTAAAATAAAAAATGGTTATAAGTAAAAAGGAAAATAACCAATATTTATTCCTCATTCTCTCTCTCCACCTCTTCGTTTATATTAACCCTAATATCGTGTCATTCTCAAAAAAAAAAAAAGAGTTTTATAAAGGTTCTCATTCTCAAGTTCTCTTCTCTAAGAACCCAAACAATGGCCTCTTCAGACAAAACCATAAACACAGACGTCCCTGAAAAAGACGTCTTTGCCATCCACTTCCTCCAATCCCTCTCAAATCTCACAACACAAAACCCTTTTAATTCTCCGGATACAACAAACTACCGTGCAAGGAAGATCAAGAAGGCTGCTTACGTTTCCATGGCAAAAGCAGCCGGAGGGTCTAGCCGGTTATGGAGCAGAGCCCTCTTGGGCCGAGCCGCCAAAGAAAACAACAAGATCGTAAGGTTTGCAAGGAGAAAGAGGAAGGTGACGTGGAAGATATCATCAAAACGGAGGAGTGACCAGAGAGCTCCGGAGGCTACGGATAGGCTGAGGAATCTTGTTCCGGGAGGCGGAACAATGGAGACGTCAAAGCTTATGGAAGAGACGGCTCATTACATCAAGTGCCTTAGTATGCAGGTCAAAGTCATGCAGTGCCTTGTTGATGGCTTGTCTCCGAAATGATTATCATCATCATCATCATCATCATCATCAGTGATCGATGTATATAGAGATACAACACATACACAGTATACTGGATTGGGCCGGGGTATAATCATAACGCACGCATCTATATGTGTATATATATATATATATATATATATATATATATTCTTATATATAAACATACGTGTAAGATAGGATACATATATGAAATGTGTGGATATGTATTATTCTCGAAGTAACGAAATATTCTTTTCCTTTTTGTTTTCTTAAATTTTGATAAAAGTGGATTTATTATATATTTATCATGTATGCTATGGCCGCTGTAAACATTAGGGCTTGGGAACTTGCCGTTGGAGCTATGCACTAGCTAATATGTACTTCTGTCTTTTTTTTTTCTTTTTAAGCTATATACAGTATAACCTCTATAAATTAATACTCGATAAATTAATACCTCGATAAATCAATAATTTTTTTCGGTCCCAAATTAGTTTTTCGGTTCAATTAGTATATCGATAAATTAATAATCACGATAAATTAATAAAAATTTTAAAAATACATAGGTCCCAACATTATTAATTTATAGAGGTTTTACTGTATGTTTTACTTGGTTCCTCTTGAGTCTTGATTGTAATTCAATTCATGAATGATGTTTCTATGGATGGATTCTATATTCATTAATTTATAGGGAATGTAAATTACAGTGAAACTATTCTTAAATTAAAAATATACCTTTTAAATTTGATCTATACTGTATATAGTACATATATCAGTCAATGGTTTGGAATATATATATATGAGATATATATAATATTTATTGAAACTATGTATCATATAATGAATCAACTACTTTCTTAATCAAGTATCACTTGAGTATTTATAGGTTAAAGAATTTTGTAGAAATTGTTTTGCACCATTTTCTTTCTAGCTCGCACACGACAATACTTACATTATTATCTCCGGAGAATAAAATTATTAACAAAAACTTCAAAACTCTGATTCTTCGTTTTCTTTCTAATCACATTTTCCGTTGGAAGGATTTATCTACACGTCGTATAATACAATGAGTTGGTCACACTTCTATTTCAGACAATTGTCCTACTTTGTCAATTATTATACACGTGTGTAACATATAAATAGACTGGTTTGGTCAATTCCACATATTTCACATCAAACATTGATTCGTGCATTTGTTTTCGTCTGAATTTCATTCCCTGAGTCGAATAAATTAATATTGGACAAACTTTAAAATTATTATTGAATTAGTAGCGAGTAGAGACTATATGTTATCATTTACCCACAAGAAGAAGAAAAAAAAAGAATTAACAATAAGGAAAATTTGCATTATAGTTTGAAATACTACAAAATGAAGGTTACTGCGGAAACGTGAGTCTGAATCCAAGAGAAGGTTACATTATATAGACTCTGTACATAACCTTTCTTTCTTCTTCCCCCAAAACAAGAAAAATACGATATCGTAAACTTTCCGATGTGCTTTGCATTACATTTTCTATCCGATTAACTTTGACTTTGCAGAAAACTTACATCAGCTTTTGTGCACAGATACGCTTGGCTCGATGTTTGGGGAATAGCTAATCTGGTTTGGTATATCACACACCATTAGATTGTTGAATCATGTTATTATGCCGCAGGCCTTGGATCCTCCAGTGTGTGAGATTCTGATTCTTCGATACCGTAATTCCATAGTTCTTTAAGCTCACCTCTTACCAACCCCAGTATGACGGCCAAACCTAAGAGTTAAAAACACATCAGGTTTTGTTCGAAAAATATGATGGACTAGAATGTTTGAAAACAGATGGAGCAAAGGGAACTCAAGCTTCTGGTTTTACCGAGTGTACAGGGAACAATGTATAATAGCGCAGGCTGGCCATGTCCGTCCATAAGATACAGACCTAGATATGTCAGTAACAGACCTACAAAACAGAACAGGAAGAAACAATGTTTCTGTTAAGTTTCGAGATTGTAAAATGTGCGCATCCATCTCGATTAACAAATCAAGTTATGTTACATTCTTGTCTAAAAAACCAACAGAATTTTGAGATTGTTCACTCTGTTGCATAAGCTATATGACGCCATTTAAGTTTACAGAGTTAGTAATGTGTGGACTTACCTATTCCATAGCCGATAGTCAACCAAAGGAAGTACCCATTTAATACTACCCTCTTTTTTATCTTGTCATATCTGAGATCAAAGAGTAAAGCACGCATAAATTTTAGGAGAGGATTGAACAAGAAAATCGCTAAGGAAGAATCCTGATGTATGAGTTCAGAGATTTAAGTCAGTCCAGAGAAAGTATGGGAAAAGATGGAATTCCAAGTTCATTCTTTTAAGTTCTAAAAATGTAACTGACTTAAAAGTACCTGGAAGCAAAGGAAATGAGCAAACCGGGGAAGAGGATGTCCCCAAAACCAATCATGTCATACCCTCCCCAAGGGTCAAAGAACCGAGGAATCCTTAGTAGCATTGGAATGGACTCCCCACTGCTGCTGTCTCCTTGGGCAACCTACACAAGAAGGAATCTCAAATAAGAATATTAACTAGATAACTTGCAATAGTCTACAAGATTACTCAGCTTATAGACGCAGATAGAACTGTTAGGTTCTTTAGTTATAAAGTTATTTGTGTACGCAGTTGACAAAACGGCAAAGAAACACAGCCGTGCAACTTTGCAGTAAGGTAATGTGATGGACCATACAAAATTTCTGTGTCACAAAGCAAACTGCAAATCAATCAGTGATACCTTCCAAATCTTAATAGATCAGATATCTGAAGCACATTTTTGTCAGAATTGTAGAAAGGACTGATATTACAGAACAAGCCCAACTCTAAGCTTAACCTGGATAAAATGAGTGTAGCAATAGAAACTATAGTTATGGATACTGTAAGAGAAACTCACCACAATCATAACGCTTTCGTGAAAAATCAGTGGTGATATGAAGACCCAGAAAATGTCATAGACAAACGCGCAGCAAAGAAGTACAGTAGCAACCTGAAGTACTAATCACTATTAGCATAAAACAGAGAAACATCATAAATCACTAAATTAACAAACCAGATAAATAACCTTGATGTTAGGTAATCGAACCACTTGCAAGGCCGTGATCATCAAACATATGCCCTGTCAACAATATGAGAATAAATATATCACATAGTGCAACCAAGGAACCAATACTTCTCTAGATGACCTCTTGCTTTATGAAAAGAGGGGGATATGAAACTAAGTTGAAAAATAAAATAGATGCAGTAATAAGAAAAATAATCAGATGATGAAAGGAAAAGACTAAAAAAAGCATTGAGTGATGAAGAAAAGAGAGCTGTGAGAAGTTACCAAAATATCTTGGCCAACCCAAGAATACGATGTGTGCCGTTTTACGAACCAGAAAACAGCAAATGCCAAACAGAAAATGTTCACTAAAAGCGACATCACTGACATTGTCCCAAGCAAAGGGAGATTCACCGATTTCCGACCAAGATTTCTACATGTTCTGCAGGAGGATCAAACATATATCCATTAAGAAATGTTAACCAGAAAAAGAGACAAGTAAATTACTCAGGAATATTTCAGAATACCTCAATATAACTGCCGTAATAATGTTATGCATACCCTGAAAACAACAGCCACTTTGTTAGATTTGACTGAAAAAGCACATATACTATATAAATATGATTATAAACAGGTTCAAAACCACCGGATGTTCATGAAATTACCTGCATGCCGCCGATGCAGAAAAATATGGTGAGCACCCATACAAACCATGATGACATGAAGTAGAAAAGGAGCAGCAGAAAAATTGAGGCTGTCACAATAAAAAATACAGCACCAGTGACACTTATATCAAGGATTTCCTTCTCTGGGTCATCTTTTTTGGTCCCAGCACTAGAAAATTCCTGGAAAAAATCGATATTTGTATTAAAAAAGACATATCGATAAATCAGCATCATAACAGCTACAGAGGCAAATAAATTGACATTTTGATCACCAAGTCCACGAAATTGGAAGAGACTGTACACTAAGTGTATAGGAAATTGGAAATATTGAAAGCAGTTAGTTTAGTGTATATAATATGAAACCATAGCACGTGAAATAGCTTTATCCACAATTTTCTGGTATAGCGAGCAAAGAAGAACACCAAACGAGGACTTGAAAGATGTTAACCTTCGCTAATATGCTGTAAGATTCATTAGCTTGGTCAGGATCTGTAAGATCTGACCATAGTGATGCAACAACAACAGTTCCAACAGCCATGAGCAATAACAATCCAGCTGTCAGGTCCACGACAGGACGCTTTGGAGCATACAACAAAAGCTCAACTGCATCATAAAGAAATTGGATTTAGCCTAGAGGAGAGGGTTTACAAGAATACCAGATGTTATATGTTGTAGAGGTAGAGCATTCACAAGTCAATAGCATATTGAATAGCTGAGAAAAATTGAACTCTCAAATCACAACGGCTCACCTATCTTTTTTTCTACCATAGATTTGTTGAGAGCATCCCCGCTTGACTTAGAGATCATTAAGACAGGTATGCTCACATTTAGAGAGGTGTCCTTTTCCATACACCCCATCTCATCAAGATCTAATAACAGATCATGAATAAATTAGATGCTAACGAAGCTAAGTAACAAGAAAACCATTTCCATGGAAAACAGTATTGAGAAACCAAACCTTCTTTGTCATTAATAACCAACAGAGCAGAAGCACCAGCTGCCTCAGCATGTTTTGCTTTCTCTGTGAAAGCGCAATTGCCACGGATAGACAAGGCAATATGTCCATCAAACTGGAAGAAACAGTGAAAAGCCAATTTAACACAATAACAACACTTAGAAAAGTCAATCAAAATTGCAAAAACTCAGCTTGCAACATCCCAAATCACATGAATCTGATGCAAGCCCATTGAGAATGGATTGCAAATTGTATAAACCAAGAAAAAAGAAACTAACCCTGGACGAGAGACTGGAACAAGAGTCCAAAGGATCTACAAAAGCAGCCGGAAGTCTGACACTATGATCAGCATCAGAAGGCACCGGTGCTCCAAATTGCGCAGTTAAGCCAGTATAGAAGTCTCCTTTAACCCCATCAATCCAATTTAAGACCTTAACCTGCATAAACGAAAATTCAACAATGAGACCAAATATAGAATCGCATTAACGAGAGAGAGAGAGAGAGAGAAAGAGCCCAAATCGGAAGATAGATAAAGCAAAGTCGATCAATCAGCTCCAGTGAAGCATGGAAGGATTGAACACGAGAGCCAAAGAATCAAACAGAATAATCCGAATTACCATTTGGAACTTATTGGAACAGCCAGGAGACTCGAGGCCGCCGGAGTCGTCGGTCCAGGACACATCGTCGGCCGCCGCTACAGAAAAACCAAGCAGAAGGAGAAACAATACTACGGCAGAGTGTCGGTGAATCGGCGGATCATACGACGACATGGCGGAAGCGACGGAACAAATCGGAGAGAAGGTGAAGAAGAAGAAGAAAAAGAGCTGCGGTTAAAATCTTATGAGATATAATTATCGGACGGTCCATAATAATAGTCTTTTCTTTTTATTTTTTCCTTTCCTTCTAATTTTCTGCGATTAATTTAATTATTCTTTGTAAAAAAAAACATAACTCCAATTTTATTAATTACTAGGGATGAACCCGCACGTACGTGCGGGATTGGTTGCAAAAACTATGTTTATCATAAAGTTTCTAATATTTTAATCGACATGATATAAGACTCGGATCGAGTGTGAACTGAATGACTGATAAATTAGAAATCAATTAAATTTGTGAACTATCACATCACATAAACTAATGAAAAACATTAAAACTTTTGAATAAAATAACATAAATATAGATATCAAGACAGTCAAACCCGTTCACTATGCATGTCCTACAACAAATTGAAATATTTTGGTCCACCCACATGAATAAATAGTATGTCTTCAGCTTGCCCGTTACCCATAATTCCCTTTTGTATATTATTAGAATTAGTTAAGATAATAATTTTTTATTTTCTAAATTACCCGTTCCCTTTCCGTTATTTCTTGTCCCAATATTTGAAAATTTTAAGTGAAACTTACTTTTGCTATTAAAATTTCATATTCTTGTATCATACCCGTCATTTGATATTTGAAAGTTAAAATCAAATTTAAGTTTCCAAATTTTTTATATAGGCTTGTTTTTGATGAGAAATAGTTTAGATATTTTTTTTTTTTGAATTACCCATTCCCTTTTTGTTCCTGTTCTTTCTCTCTAAGATAATATCATATTTTTTTATATATAAATGAAATAATTTACATTTTTAAAAATAACCCAACATTATATAGCTTGTATTTAACTAATTAAATTACTCGTTCTCTTTCTATATTCGTTATTTCTTGTCCCGATATTTGAAATATTTAAGTAATTTGAAACTTACTTTTGCTATTTAAATTTCATATTCATGTATGATACCCGTCATTTGATATTTAAAAGTTGAACTTGAATTTAAGTTTCCAAATTTTTTATATCATCTTGTTTTTGATGAAAAATAGTTATATAATTCTTTTTTTTGAATTAACCGTTTTTTTTGTGCTCGTTCTTTCCTTCTAAGATAAAATTATATATATATATATATTTTTTATAAATGGCATCATTTACATATATATATATTTTTTTAAAAACAACATTATATTGCCTGTAATTAACAACATTTAAAAAACAATACCGTTAATTATTAGGTTGTAGAAACGTATAGCTTGTAATTAGAGTATAATGTTTTATTTTGTATTACCGTAAAATTTGAAGAAATGTAAGCAAAGAGTCACATTTATAAACTACGAACTTATCTCTGTTTAAATCTTCAAAAAGAAATGAATCAATTGAACAAAAAATATATTAAATATTTTACTAAGTAATGAAAATTCAAATAACTATTTTATTCCATTAACTGTTTAATTCTTTTTGTGGATTGACAATGTTATATTATATGGAAAATATAATAATCGTGTGATATGATTTCCTGAACTTACTTAAAACTATTAAATGCTAATTGCATATTAGTTAATATCCAGCGAAATTGGGGAGTTAATATATTATTAAATTGATGTTAATAATAAAAAATGTTTATTTGATGATTTTATTTTTGGTCACATGCTATATTGGTTTTTTAAGTATATTTCAAGGAAATATATAAATATCCTTTTTGCTATATATTCGAAAAACATTTTCA